TTTTTATGGAGACTTGATAATGTCACTAGTCTTCCTGTACATATCGCTAAATATGCATGAGATTGAGACTGAATATTGAGATTCAATTTATTTTAAGCAAAGGACTTTATATACAATGAGTATGTGTTAATAAAATATTTCAAATGCAATATTTATAAAATTATCTAAATACTTTTTTCTGTCCGAAGTATTTTATTTAGCTAAAAAATTTTTACTAATGTACTAATGTATTGTATAAACAATGGTCCCACCTTTAGACACCTCATAGTTTTAAAACTTGAATGCTTAGTAGCAAGCACACATACGTTTTAGTCGCTGTCATTGGAGAAGTTCTATGGAGAATTATTGGGTTCATATATGAGAAAATGTAACTCCGAAGACACTGCAACCTGAAACTGTATGCAATCTATATTGAAGCAGATGAAAATAAATAAATTTAGCTCAGTAAATCCCGTTGGGTGTCATATAGTCATATGGTTCGCAAAACTAAAGTAGAGATAGAGTTTGGTCGAAAAACTTTTTGTGATGACTTTTATGGTAGAAAGAATGTCGTCTTTAATTGGAAATCCTTGTCTTGAAACCGGAACTGGTAGAAAAATGTGGGCATTGGTAATAAGACCGATGTTGATGATGATGATTAATTTTTATTAGGTATTATAATAAATTTGTTACTAGATATTTGGATAACATTGCATGTATATTTTGTTAGTAATACTATTGAACTTTCCTGTAAGTTCTTGTTATTTTTTTAATTCTAAATTTACTTTAAACAGTTCGTTAAAGCACTTAAAATATCAAACTAAATGTAATCTATTAGTTATCTATTGGTGTTTTATACAGCATTACATTAGTAAAAATTTCGCAGTTAAATAATTTTATTTTCCTTAGTAAATATATTCGTAACGTTCGTGTTGACGAAAGAAACTAAATTCTTAATATAAAGTATTTTATTAAATAGAGAGGTTTTTATTGAATAGTAGTGAAATTGCAACAACACAAATTTATTATTATTATTTTCAATTAATTGAGTTTTTTACTGACCATACTGCTGTTTCGAGTATTGTATATTTTTCTGAATTTATCATCGCAATAATAAAGATAGTTAACAATTAAACAAACAATAAGGAGCACAATCAGAATTATTGACTCTGGAAGGTGTAAACAATTATCACACACAATGTTCCCACATTAATAACTGCTACTATAATCATAATCCTGTTCACGAAGTGAACGAAGAGTAAAGTGTGCAAAATAATTACTTTACGAGGTCATCATTTGAGAATTGCAAAACAAACTGTAAATAAAACAGATAAGTGTGACAAAACAATTATAATTCGGAGTGATAACTCATGTCTCAACACTAGGAACTTATTGACGTCGAGAACACAAAAGAATCCGGACAAAATAAACACATTATGAATGTAAATCAAAGAGAATGCGAAGACAGACAAGAAGATAACTTTTCGCCTTGACTTCAAGTGTGAATGCACAAGGACACATCCAGCAGGAATTTGAAAATCTCTGAGAGCTCGTTTACAAGTAAGCAGGGGAACTGAACTGAGTTGTGAGGATGGCATAGACAGAAACGTGAAGGTCGCATTTGGAACGTTGGAGAAATGATATTTTGTAGTCTTGAGAAATTTCTGAAACGTTTTTCCAAGGACATGGAATAACTGCACTTCTTTGATTAAATTAGGCATATTAAATTGTTATTTAAAAGCAAATAAAAACTAAATGAAAGCAATGTAATGTTTTCATTTGCAAGTAGCTAGTTGGCAAAACATGCTCGGTAGTTGCAATTAACCTTTAAGCTTCCAACTGAGTTCTCTTTTTGGACCACCATTTATCAAACATCTGCTGATTCAAATAAACAGATTAACATGATTTCTGTTTTTTAACTTCAGCTACGAGTTACTATTCAATTATACAAAATTAGTATACTAATATTTACACAGCCTAAAGTCAATTATCTTTATTGGGAATACAATCAAGTCGAGAAGAGAAAAATTTAATTAAAATCTCTGGTGTTAGTGTGTTGTCTTGTACTCTTAGTAATCAACTATTGATTGATTCATTCCAATTGATTGGCTATTGATTTTCAAATTAATTTTCTTTTATTAAGGCACCTCAATTTTTTTCCATTTGTTTACTTATTTTTTAATCATATTTATGTGTAAATATAAGAGTGTTATTGTATTATTGTTGGTAGTATTTCGTTATACGCCAAAAAATCAAATTCTTAAATAAAAAATTGAATTCTTTAAAATACATGAAACCTTTAAAGAATTAGTTAAAGTTAAAAAAAGAAATATATAAACACCATTATTCTCAACGAACTATGACATACCACACAAGTGATAGATTTATTCATCTGCAATCAAAATCCAATTATTTCACAATTTTATTTATAAAGATATAAAATTATATATACAATTATATATATTATATATTTATATATATATATATATAATTTATATCATTATAATAAATTATTATATTTATTTTTATTTTATATATATAATTTTTGAAATAAATGGATTTAGATCGCAGATGAATAAATCCATCACTTGTGTGGTAGGTCATAGTTCGTTGGGAATAATGGTATTTATATGTTTTTATTTACTTTTTTCCCTAACTTCAAATATAATATATTATACAGACTCTCTTTATCGAAGAAGTTAAAACTATTAATAATTAACAAATTCAATATCTAATCTATTCTTTAAGTGGTTACTAATCATATTTTTTTAAAAATCAGTAATATATAACATAAAGTTATTCTGCTCATTTAAGGTGGTACCTATCTCAAAGGCATTTGAAGGCATTAATTCGAAGTATAGCATACAGTTATGGATTTGTGCTACAGAGAATAATAATCGATTTCAGAACAAATTCTTGAGGTTCATTACAAACGTTCAACGTTACGTTAGAAAAGTATCAGCATGGAGATTTGGACATAGTCACCGCAACGATAGGGAAAAGGGAAACTACAGTCTATGAGGAAATTCTTAAAAAGCATATTCAATCTATACCTCTAACAAAATATATTTACAACCAAAACAGCATTGTAACTTGGTCAAGCTTCAATAGCGGGCTTTAGATCTATCATATCATTTCTACTTATCCAAATATTATTGTTTTTTTTAAGTAAGCTAAAATAAAATTATTTTATTAATATTTCATATTTACTTATTAGATACAATTTAACAACGTGTTAAAAACCAAATTTTCGTCACATTAAGTACTACAAAATAAAAATAATTACTTTCAACCGGAAATGGTTGTACTCTTTTTGGAATAAAAATTCTTTTCGTTGCATATAGACACAATTCCATTATAGGCAATAAGCACAATAAGTTATTTATTAAGAATAACGATTAAAATAATAATTTTAGTCCTTAATTTCGTCTAAATATCTGAAATCAGAAGCGAAGAAACCACTTCGACATATAGTACTTTACCACAAATTTAAAATTATTTGCATAATGGATTATTTGATAATGGATTGCGCAATACTTTTCCTTTTTGGAATATAATATAAATTCAATAACAATGAACTTTGATTCAAAATTTTATTGGAAGGAAGTGACTTAGATGTAACTCAATAAAATCAAAAAGAGTACAAGGAATCGTATGAAGAATGCTTTTATCATTACAGTACAGACATTCTGGATCATTATTCTGGATTCATTGATCTTGCAACTGCTCTCCATCAATGTATAGCGAATCAATATATTCAAGCCTCGAAATATGAAAACAATTTCAAAGAATAGTCGTATTTTAAAAAGATATGCCGAAATATAAAAATAGTCCTAGAGATGGAAAACTTCAATTATTTAAAAAAACAGAATATGTTATGCCAAGTTTGACATGCATAATATTTAATGCAAATCACTAAAAAGCCTTAATATTAATATAAAAGAATAAACTAAAATTTTGATTTACCAAAACTATTTTTATAATTTTCT